TGAGCAGGAGAGTGATATCAGAGTTTCTGGACAATTTATCTCATTTGTATTGTTCAGTCATTCAGTTGTATCCAACCCTTTATGACTCCATGGACCATAGCACACAAGGCCCTTCTATCCTCTACTATATCTCAAAGTCTGTCCAAGTTCATGTTCATTATTTGCATGACACTATATTTCTATCTCATCTTCTGCTGTCTCCTTTTCCTTTTATCTTCAATCTTTCCCAACATCACAGTCTTTTCTAATGAGTCCAATCTTCTCATTATGTGACCAAAGTATTTAAGCTTACATTTCAGTATTTGACCTTCTAGTGAATAGTCTGAATTAATTTCTTTAAGTGTTGACTAATTTGATCTACCTGATGTCCAAGGGACTCTCAGAGCTCTTCTTCAGCACAACAATTTGAAAACATCAATGCTGTGGTGCTCAGATTTCCTTATAGTCCAAATCTCAGCAATACATTAATACTGGAAAAAAACACAGCTTTAACCATACAGACATTGGTTGGCAAGGTGATCTCTGCTTTTTAGCACACTGTCCAGATTTGTGAAGGCTACTCCATTTCTTCTAAGAAATTCTAGTAGTATACATAATGATCACCTGAATTAAATCCACCCATTCCCATCCAACAAAGTTCACTGACACCCAACATGACAATGTTTAACCTTTCCATATCCTGTTTGACCACATCCAGCTTACCTTGCTTCATAGATATTATATTCCAGGTTCCTACACAATACTGGGGTTTATAGCATCAGTCTTTCTTTTGATCCCTAGATGCACCCACAGCTTCCTTTTGGCTGTGGCCCAGAAACTTCATCAGTACTGGAGCTACATGTAGTTGTCCTGCACTCTTCCCCAGTAGCATATTGGACACCTTCCAATCTTAGGAGCTCATCTTCCAATGTCATTTCTTTTATCACTTTAGTACTATCAATGGAGATTTATTGGCAAAGATCCTGGAGTAGTTTGCCATTTCCTTCTCCAGTGGACCACCTTTTGTTAGAACACTCCACTATGGTCTATACGTCTTGTGTAACCGTACATGGCCTAGCTCATAGTCTCATTGACCTATGCAAGCCTCTACACCATGAAGAACAAGGCAGTGATCCAGGATGAGATTCATGTCATAGCAATGAGTAAAATGGATTAGAACTGAGAGACCTTGAAAATAAGGATGATAAGTTGTTAACACACCACCTGATACCATTTTTCATTTTCTTATTTTTACCTTCAGTGCTTAGCATAGTGTCTGGCACATAGTAAGTACTTAATTAATGTTCATATTGGAGTGAATTATGACAAAGTCAAAAGACCATATATGATATATTAAGGGCTGGCACTAAGGTGGTAACAATAGAAATAGAAAGTAATATAAACTTCTTGAGAAGAAGTACTGATCTGTTTTTGCCTTACATCCCAGTAGTTACCATGATGTTTTTCACATAGCATATTTATTTATTTTAATATGAATTTGGAATTTAAGGGACATATAGAATGATATTGTTAAAATAAATTTGTATGTGACATCTGTTGAGCATGGGGTGGAATAAGGGAAAGGAGTCACAAAAGAAACTTCTCCTGGTCCTTTAAGTCATTACGCATGTTTTTATATTTGGATGTTGTATTTTCCACGCAAAATGTAAATTCCTTGTGGGTTGGTAATTTTTTAAAATTGGCCTTTGTATCATGTCACATTGTATGCAATAGGTATATAATAAATACTTCCTGGATAAAACCAGATTATTTATAGAAACAGGAAAGTCAGATGGAGAAGATGATTTGGGGAGAAGGGAACAGGTATTGGGAGTAATGACCAGTTTGTTTGTTGACATTACATTTGAAGTGTTAGTTGGGTTGAAATAGAAAGACCCAGTAGGCACTTAGAAAACCAAGACTGAAGCTCAAAGGAAAAATTAGTGACTCAGCATAAAAAAAATTATAAGTCATTTTCATCATGTTGATAATTGAACCCAAAAGAATAGACCAAAAAATAATGGAGGTAAGTGAAAAGTGCTGAAGTTCTAGTCTTGAGAAATGCCCACAGTTAGGTGCTGAATCAAGAAGAACGGAACAAGGTAAGTAACAATGAAAGCAGGGGTCATCAGAGAGGTAAAAGGAGAACCCCAAAATTGCAGAGTCAGGACTAGCCAGGGGTGAGATAATTTAAAAAAAAAAGGGGAATTGGTAGCTAAGGGTATCACACACTAATGGAAGGTCAAAGATGATTTCTTGAAAAAAGACCATAAAATTTGGTAATGCTTAATAGAGAAATTTTAGCAGGTAGTAGATAACACAAAAGATGCAATATATGATTAGTGGTAGGAAAGCAAAGGCAGTCAGTATGAAATTTTTAATGAGTTCTTATAGTAAAGAGAAAAAGGTTGAAGCACTGAAAGGTCTAAAGAAGTGTGTGTATGTATGTATGTATATGTATGTGTGTTGAGTTGGTTGATTGTTAATTTTTTTGATAAGGAGTCCTGAGCATGATTATAAATAAAGAGTAAGGGCCCAGAAGAGAGGGAGGTATTGAAGATGAAAAAGACAGTAAATACTTGATAGAGCAAGTACATTTGCTCCAAAGAGCATTGTTGGAAAGTTAGTTCTGGCAGTGGAGATAAAGGATATTTCTCTTGAAAATGGAAACAAATATTACTAAATGGATAAAGATTCAGACCAAAAAGAGTGTGTGGAAGGGAAGTTGAAGTATTTTAAAATGCTATCAGAGATCATTCCTAAAAAGCTGCAACATGATTGACTTTCTTTTTCATCTATTTAGTGGAAATAAATAATCCCAGCAGGAAAAATATCTATTTTGACTATGTTTTTAAAAAAATTCAACTAATGGGAATAACACAAGTACAACAACAAGTATCTTTTCATTTCAACTAGCATGTTGACATAAAGCCTACAGTTCTTGTCTAAAGGGCAGCTAGGTGGTGCTGTGGATAGAGTACTTTTCTTGGAGTCAGAAGACCTGGATTTAAATTTGGCCCCAGTTGCTAGCTGTCTGACCCTGGGCAAGTCACTTAACCTTATTTGCCTCAATTTCCTCATCTGTGAAATAAGCTATGGCACACCACTTCTACATCTCTACCAAGAAAACCCAAACGGGATCATAATTAGTCTGACATGACTGAACAACAACTCGTTCTTGTCTAAAATGGTTCATATTAACATCTGCCCTATGCAGAAATTCAAACAATTGCCTGATGGATACTTATTGAAATCTTTAATTAATTACTAATAACTGTATTTCACTTATAAAGTTAAAAAAGGAATAAAATACAGATTTTAAAATGCCCCCTTGAGCAAGGTCCTTCTTTCTTAGTCACAAAACATTTGAAAATTCTTAGGTCCAGAGAAAGTATCTTACTATGAAAATGGAGTTTTGATTTCTATATGTTCAATCATAATTGCACCACTGGAGTTCAGCTTATCATTAGATTTATGTGTAGCGAGAAGAATGGGGAAAGTGAACTTCTGACTTTTCTGAGAATCATAAAATATCAGAGCTGCAAAGAACTTCACAGACCATTTAGTTCAACCTGTTACCAAACCTACCAAAATATGCAGACTGAACAAAGATCCCCTCTGCAACAAACCCAACAAATGGTCATCCAATAGCAGTTTGCAAAACTCCCTTGCAAGGCGAACCTATTACAATTTAAGGTAGGTTACATTTTGGAATATACTTAATTATTAATTTATTTTTCTTTAAAATCTTCACCCTTGCACTTCTAGTCTTTTTCTTTACCAGTTTTGCTCCCAGGGGTCAAGCAAAATAAATTTCAAACCCCTTTCTCATGATAACTCTTTAAATAATTACACAGCTATCATAATCCCACTAAGTCTTCTTGAGACTAAATATTCCCTGTTACTCCAGCTCACTTTCATGTGGTGTGATCTGAAGTCCTTTTCTTCCTTCACCATTCTGATTGCTATATACCCTCCAGATCTACGTACTCTTCCTAAAAATGTCATGGCCAGAACTGAACAAGATATTCCAGATATGAGTTGATCAGGGAAGATTACAAACCCATTAGCCTCTAGTTTCCCCAAAATCTACTTTTTGAAATTGTTTCTAAATTATTTTCCTCCTACATTGTTTGGCTTGTCATTTACAATATAGGTAGGTACTTATAACACCTGTTAATTCTTTGAACCTTCTCTTTTGCCACTATTTATTTTTGATGATCCCTGTGATTAGCAGGCAGATGGTAGAGGATGTCCTAATTGCCCAATTAATCAATAGGATATCTAAGATGCAGATATGTTTTCTTATGGACAGTACTGAAACCTCCCCACTTAGTCACACTGAGTTTCAACACATAAGAGATTTGCAACATTTTAATCCTTATAATCTCTAAATCAGTGTGGATTTCAGAAACAACTGAGTAGAATATCAATATTGGTCCCAATACCATTACTTTTTTGCTCTATTACTCCTAACTTATGGACATGAACAACTTGTATGTAACAACCTGACTGGACAGAAGGGAGCATCAGGGTAAAGTGTAAACATATATTCTTATTAATGGCTTCCTCTAGGAATGCTCTTTATGTCTCTATAGTGGGCAGCTATGAATCTGAGAAGTGAGCAATTCTCTGAAACATCCAAGAGAAAGGCTATTTCAAGAAATATGGGAAAGTGGCAGAGGGAAGTTTTTTTTTTCTTTCTAATCCCAAGATGATGCTTAACTGCTCCCTTTTAATAAGCAAAAGGCAAAATAACTCATTAGATTTGTTTACCGTTATCAACTCTTTCCCCCAAGGAGCACTTAGAATTTCCTTGTGAAAATTTGGAATCCTCCTGAGAAAACCACTCCTCTTTAGAATGTTATCTACCAGAATACATCTGCTTACTTTTCACTTTTGCATGTGTTGAGCACAGGCATGATTTGAATATCAGATCTGCAGGCAAAATCAGAAATGCATTGGAAAATTAAAATTAAACAAGATTAGTAAATAATGGTTTCTTACCTCATCTTTTTCAGCTGCCCCCAGACAATGTATTGAACTTTACTTTGATGAAAAGTACTCTATCGAGCCCTCTTGGGAGTGTAAATTTGATCATATTGAAGTGAGAGATGGACCTTTTGGCTTTTCTCCAATCATTGGACGTTTCTGTGGACAGCAAAATCCACCTGTAATAAAATCCAGTGGCAGGTTTTTATGGATTAAATTTTTTGCTGATGGAGAGCTGGAATCTATGGGATTTTCAGCTAGATACAACTTCACAACTGGTAAGTAGATATTCTCCTTTTTCTCCCCACAAATGTTTATTCATGGATTTCATAATTTTGACTTGCGTTATTTTGTTGGACTGATATTTTTTTTTGTGAAAGATATCACTATTTAATTTTTAAATGCGATATTTGTTTGTTCACTTCATAAAGTTTGACAAAGTAAAAAAAAGGCATTTTCTTATAGTATACCAGGAAAGCAATTAATTCAATTGACTTTCATTACTCCAAAATCCATACTTTGGAGAAAATTCTATGATCAAGAAACACTAATTATGTACAGAAGCACTGAGAAGTTCAATGTTGTTTGTAGCATTGTAAAATGTACTCATCAAAATGATCTGAAAAAAAGACTTTGATAAAAAGCATATTTGTTCTGAAAATTATGTCAATCCTACTTTTTTATCTCATATGGAACTCAGTGGAGAGAATTAATCTCCTTTTCCAAAAAGGCGAATTCCTAAGAGACTTGGCAAAGAAAGTCAGATTTGTAACAGTCAGTTGAATATTTTTCTGAAAGATCTGGCAGGCATTATCATTAATTATGCAATCATGTAGCCTATGTAAATTTGTTTTTTAGCCATGCATTCTTTTAAAGTATGTTTCACTGGCCTATTTGAAAGATTTAATTTGACTATATATATATATATATATATATATATATATATATATGTGTGTGTTGTGTGTGTGTGTGTGTGTGTGTGTGTATGTATATACATGTGTATGTGGGTATTATTGCAGAAGTACTGCACTATAATGATTTGGGATTTGATGAAGTTATATTGTAGGATTTTACAAATGAACAATAACCCACATTATGCAAAGGAATATGCTGACCACCCTTTGCATAATTTATAAGTGTGTACATTATGATTCACTTAGGTTATATTGGGTATAATAGTAGGATTTAGAATATGAAAAGTTAAAAAGGGGTTATTCCATGCTCCAAATATGATTAATAGAACCACTTAAAAAAATAGCATGGGGGGAACAAGAATGGCGCATTAGTTGCTTCAATTTAGAATTTATGTTAGAGCAAGGTAGATATGGATTTTGTGACAGTTATTGACTTTATAGCATAAGACCTTCCCCACCTCAGATTCCTTGTAGTTTATAGAGAATTGTTTTAATTTTAGAGACACGTTATGCTTAGTTTATCATGGCATAGGAATATGGCATGAAAACAAAATTTCCAAGTGTAATTTCTTCCCAAGATATGTTGTTTTTCTCTTTCAAAAAGTAGTTATTTTCCCACATATGTAAACCACTGTGGATTGATTTTTAACTACAAGAAAAAAAGTTGCAAAAGTCTTATTTGCCAGATTTCCCATTTTAGGTATATAAAGAGAATATGCCTTCTCAGTAATGGTAAATTTCAAGTAAACCTCAAAGAGCACTAAAGTGTTATCTCATATCCTCTCTACTTTGGTTGTGTTGTTTGTTTGTTTGTTTGCTTGTTTTTAATATTTTATTGCCTCAAGTTTGGTGACCAAAGAATTAGTGATTGGTATATGTAGTCTTGACTTTTAAGGTGAGAGTGGGGACTGCTGAATTTTTATGACTAATAAAGTCTTTCAGTGACCAGGTTATTTCTGTTTAACTGTTTGTGATCCTTTTATTGAAACTATTTCATATCTCACTGTCCACATCCCAGAAAGATGGCTTTGGGAGTTGTAGACAAAAGGTTGCCAGAAGTTGAGGTTGAGTTCACTAGTCAGTCTGAAATACACATATATTTATGTATATATCAGATAATAATTTAAAAGCCAATTAGTTGGCTATTAATAGTTGTCTAATAATAAATCGTAGGCAATATTTATATAGTGCTTACTATATGCCAGGCTCTGTGCTAAGTGTTTTACAAATATTATCTCATTTGATCTTCACAATAACCTTAGGAGGTAGGTGTTATTTTTATCTTCATTTTACAGGTGAAGAAACTGAGACAAACAGAGATCAAGTGATTTTCACAAGGTGCCACAGTTAGTCAGTGTCTGAGGCTGGATTTGAACTCATTTTCCTGACTTCAAGTCCAGCGTTCTACTCTCTGCTGTGTCATCTAGCTGCCTAACAAGTCATAATGTGTGTACATATGTATGTAAACGTATTCATATTCAGAAAAGCATTTGTTTATGTATATATTTATTAGATAAATATGTTAGTGAATATGTATATAGTACATAAGTACACATGAGCACACATATATAGCCTCACCAATGTGTTTCCACATTACTGATTCTGAAATCATTATCATTCATACAACCATGTTATAATATTTTCTTCTAAATTATTTTTTTCTCCAACTTCTGCTAATCTACCATAGTATTTCTAGGGAGGAAGCTATACTCTAAAAAGAAGTTGACATTGAAAGACCTCATGCCCTGGCTTAGTAGGGAATATCGATAGGCTTTTCCTACTCCCTGGAATTAGGTGTGAATTGGTATCTTCATAGCAAAAAGAGATGGCTCCCTGAGGCAAGCATGTTTGAAGCTGGAAAACTATATTGTCTTTGCACCAAGAAAGTTGTATGTACACTCAGGGCTAGAAAATATTTAGGTAGGTAGACTAGCTTTATAATTTGTCTGAAAATAGACCCTACCAGTAAGTCCAAGAAAATATGTTACTAAATATGTACTTTGTTGAGTGTGCACATGCATATGTGTGTGTGTGTGTGTGTGTGTGTGTGTGTGTGCTCAAAGTGTATGTGTTCGGGAGTGGGATATATAAGTTTATTATGGGAGTTAGGTGGCACAGAATATAGATTATTAGACCTGGAGTCAGGAAAATTTGAGTTTAGATTCAGCCTCAGATGCTGTATAGTCCTGTGAGAGTCTCTTATCCTTATTCTTCCTCAATTTTCCCTTCTATAAAATGAAGGTAGCAAAGACATCTACATCCTAGGGTTTTCATGAATATAAAATGAATTTTTTTTTTGTAAAATACTTTGCAAAACTTAAAGCACTATATAAATACTGATGCTGCTACTTCTGTTGCTGCTACTGCTGCTGCTACTGAGAGTGGTAGAGAGATGGGAAGGGTATGAATATGATTGAGTCCCAAAGGCTACTGCAAACCTCTGGAGAAGTTGTTGATAGTAGCTGCCTGTGTTTTTACTATCCCAATAAATCTTTACTAATATTATCTATGAGATAAATTTATGATGTATTGAGGTAGGTTTTTCTATTGTAGGGAAATAATTTAACTATAAAACAAATTCATATATATTACTGGCATCATTCTGGTTTCATTTACCCAAATGAAAGTTTCTTCATTTGGGCACATCTTTTTAGAAGTAACCTATTTTTAATCAACCTATCCTCCCCTTACCCTTAATTTTCAAATATAAAAATTCAATGCCAATTAATTGATCTCAGAGAAGTTTGAATTTTTTAAGGAATTTAATAAGGACAAAGAGTATGGGATCCTTTTCCTTTTCTTTTTAGGCAATTGGGGTTAAGTGACTTGCCCAGGGTCACACAGCTAGTAAGTGTCAAGTGTTTGGTCTGAGGCCAGATTTGAACTCAGGTCCTCCTTACTTCAGGGCTGGTGCTCTATCCATTGTGCCATCTAGCTGCCCCTGGATCTTTTTACTTTTCAGGGGTCAGTTGTCTTCTTTTTTCTGCTATAATTGTCCCATCCCAACTTTCTGTTTCTCTTTCAACATTTGTAGCAGCTATTCTCTTTAGTTCTCTCTTCTTTGGCTTGTAGTTAGCCTGCCACTGTGTTTAGTCTATATATCACACGTAGAGTCTTGAAAAAAAAACATTAACTCATCCTAACTCTTAATTTTATTTAGACTAATTCCAGTTTATCACTTTAGGAGTAGCTCTTTAATTCATTTTATGGTCTTTTCCTTAACAATCTTAGTGTGGAAGAATAATAAAATAACATTAAATTATTTAATTATTAACTGAATGTTATTTTATTAAATAATTAATGTAAGAAATGTATTTTTTTCATTTTACTAGTATTTCTCATTTATGTTAAGATTCAATTCAATTCACCATGCATTTATTGACCACCTACTGTGTGCATAATACTTTGTTGCAAATTTGAAAAACACCTAAAGAGAACCCAGGAAGGTTATTGAAAGGAGAATTGTTTCCTTCAGAGATATCTGAATTGTCTTCATTTTCAAATAAGATATTGTGAGGCAAGTTGCATTTGAAACTTCTAAAAGTGATCTTATTGTTGAAGCAGAAAAAAAAAAGTTTGGATTACAACAATGCAGGATTGAAGTAAGAGATTCTGGGATGTGCATTTTAATCAAAGTTTGATGCTACCTTTTTCCTCATTGTACATTTCCATAAAACAAAAGAGGGAAGGAAAAGAGGAAAATAATGAGTTAAAGTTGACAAATACATGATAAAATATGAATAAATGATTTAGTTCTTTCTTGGAGACTTGTAACAAGAATCAGGTTTTGGGGTGAGGCCGTACAGGTGTAAGTATCTATTTCAAACCTAAGAAAAAGACTTGATTTTGGATTACTGTATCTGATAAAATCAAGGAGTTTGGCTTGACAATCTCTAAGATATTTGACAGATTTACATTTAGATGACTATGATTTTATAAAATATTAAATTATATCAGGGACTAGGCTATCCAAAAAATCTATTTTGGAATAAGGCAGACTTTCTTCCATGTTAGTTATTGCAGAGATTCAAATAGTCAAATTCTTCAAAAGATCTCTAATTCCACTGATGTAGACATTTCCTCTGATGACACAAATTGTAATCTCTCCATGCCAGCCCATCCTGTGTGATTCTTATCCAAGTGACTACAGGAGGAACAACTAAAACACTGGTAGTTTTCCTCATTTTGTCTCAAAATGCCAAGAATACAGAAAAGTCCCAAAATTTCCTTTGGTTGGCAACTGAATTGGAGACTGGTATAAATGAGTGGGGATTAAAAATATTAGCTATATAAATGAAAAGTAGAAAGAGGCATCAAGCTACCCATTCCCTTTTGTATTACAGAGACTAACAATAATAGCTAGC